GCCCTCCTCCAGCTGGCAGCCTCACCGAAATCTTTAAAGCCAGTGAAACATCCTTAGTTCACCGCAGTGATATTACTCAGCTTCTTAAACCTCATATACGTCTGTGAATGAAACAAAAAAAGCTCTATGCAAAAATACACAACAGCGAACCCGTAGAAGAAAATTGAGACCATACTTCAGCACCAGGCAGAGGTCTGAGCGTTAGCATTTGTGGAGGCTGTGAGAAGCAGCATGGACCAAAGCTTGCCTCTGGAGAAGCAGCTGAGAGCTTTGCTACTGCTTCCAGTGAGGCCACCATCTCACCTGGAGGTCCACCCCAAGAGGGGCTGACCCCTTCAGTTCCTCCTGGCATCCAGGCATTTCCATCTATCTGCACCTGCTTCTCTGAATACCAGGGACAAAAACTGAGTTCTTTGCATTCTCTCTTTTTCCAGCCCTCTTTCATTTAAATAGAGCCTGGCTTCAGCTAAACTGTTGTATGAAAAAACAGGGAAGAAAAATGTGCACAAGACAGTTTCTTACACACTTTTATGCATTATCTTTTTAAGGGCTTGGATTATTTTATTTATTTATTTTAAGTTTTGGGGGGCTTGGAGGGGTTTTTTTAAAAGCTTCTTCCTATTTGAGTAATAGCTGCATTTAGACAAGGATCAAATCTCAGTGGCTTTACCTGGAATTGCATCAGGTGTTACAAAATACTTAGAAATTCTTTAGTGAAAGGAGATTTTATGAATACGTACGATCCTTCTCCCTTACCCACCCTTCATATACGTCCTGCTTCTTCTTTCCACGTGGATTTCTCCCAGCATGTAAGAGTGGTATCTGAGAGCAGACTTGTTGGATTTGAGAACCGTATGCAGAAAATTACATTTCTTTACCTCCTTTATGCATCATCCTTTTATTGCTCAGCTCTGCCCCCTTACCTTCTACTTTCCAGCAGTCTCTCCCCACCTCTTGTGACTGTGGCCTTTTTTCTATGCAGCTTTCCTGTTACCACCATCAGATCTGTGCACAAGACAGCTCATAGCTTGTGCTGTACTAAAAAGCCAACTCATCACATACAAGGAAAGATAGGAATAGCAAGAAAAAAAAAAAAAAAATCTGTGCAACCTGTGGAATTTCAGTATTTCCATTCACACTGTGATCTGATTTATCAGACTTACTTGAGGATCCATCTGTTGTGCCGAGATGTTCTCCAGCAGTAATGACTATTGTGAGCCTTTTCTAAGCTTCTTTCAATTCCCAGCATATTTCTTTCCAGTTTCTGCAAGTACAAACAATAATTTATAGCTCTTATTCTTTCAGCAGTGAACACTACACCCGAGGCATCACAAATACATACTCATAATGAGCATCTTGAGGGTCAAAGAAAAATGATGTTTTCTGAACATATTACCCACACTGCACATAAGGATGGGTAAAATGCTGGGAACTACCCAGAGCAAAACCACACTAGAAGCTCCACAGCCTGCCTCAGTGTAGTTTAGGTGCCATAAGGTCCAGCGGGTCAAATTGCCCTTCCCAGGGTGTACAACAGCCCCAGCAGTGAATTTAGCAACTTGCCTCCATTTCCAGCCTCAGGACCTGCAGTCACATCACATGCCACAAAAATAGTAGCCTACCAAGTTACTTATGTACATAGGAGCCGGGGGGGGTGGGGCGGGGAAAGTCATAAATTGGACTTTTTTCCACCTGTTAATCATACAATGTGGTACAGCTACTTTATTATGTTGTTCCTCAGGAATATCCCTGTACACACCACACAGTTACAAATGCAAGCCAAACCATAAACTACAGTGCCTAAACAAACCTCTTGTTTCTGCTCAATAACTTCCTGTCATAGGTAAAACCAGACACCTTCAGCCTTGCAATGAAACCTAACCACTTCTAAGGAAAGAAAAGAAAAAAGAACCCAAGAAAGCCACATTTCATACCACAGAGCAGCATGAAAGAAAGATTGGGCCAGGAAATTACCTTTTTTTTTTTTTTTTTTTTTTTGAGGGGAACAACTAAGAGCACTTCTATAGTTTAAGCACAGATATACCTAGATAAAGGGAATTTGCCTATCCTTGAAGATGGAAGGAGCACGGTTGGTCCAGGACTGGGCAGCAGGCTATATAGCAAATATCAGATTGAATTGTTTGCATTAAAAACAACTTTTTCCTCCCTCCTAGCATTAACTGGCAAGTTTGTGGTCTGTATTTAGGTTATCAGGCATAGCTTTTTGGAAATATTTCAATATTGTATTGTTATCCATAGAAATTATAATTTTTTAACAATATTTTGAATATGAACACATTCATGCTGAGTTCCAGCAGATCAATAGTCATTTGAACATTTTATTCTTACCTTTTTTTTTTCTCCAAAATGGCATATGAATTATATATTTGAGTTTACATGAAACCTCTGAGGAAGCTATTAACTCAAACATCCTTGCTGCAATTAGCTTTTATCTGCTGTGGATCAGTTTCAATATTTTATATTTGAAGCAGAAAGCGGTGTAAATCTGCCCAGTCAAAGGCAAATCCCAGCCAAGAAAAACAATTTGTAAGAACAGCAGATGCCAGGCAAAACCAGTTTTCTTTTTTGTACTGTCCATACCCCAAAATACTTCTCAGTGATCCCCCATAACCTTCCTCTTCCTTGGGTTGCTCTGCTTGAGGTGGCGCTCAGCTGATCAGTTTGTGCTGAAGTTTGCACAGGGCTCGTCAGGTCTGTGCCTGGGATAAGCAGGAAGCATTAACTTCTCACTTTTAAAAGTGTTCACTTCATTTTTTTGAAGGAAGCATCAGAAGCATATGATTTACTGTCACCAAACCCCTTCAAAGCTTCCAAGCATTGTGAGTTAGCTTGGTAAGTGGGGTGGGTAAGTTCTGCCACTCTAAGTCCCCAGCTGATATTGAACTGTTGAAACTACTTAAATAAACAGCAGGTTTCCAAATCTGGGTTGTTTTGATTGTTGATTGTTCTCTGTGATTACTTTAAAGGTATAACCTCATTAGTACCTGAGTGTCTCTTCCTGAGCATCAGGTGAATCACTGACCATCTCCCAGAAAACACTAAACTATTTAGGAGTGATTTATTAGGACCCCTCCTATTACCTTTGTTTAAGGAGAAGAGTAAATATGGAGAGACAAATGAGCCCTGAAGTATATGCTGCATGTTCTATTTCACTATTTTTATTTCCAAATTAACAGGAAAAGCCCTAGTGTATACAATGATATGGTTTTGCTGCACCAGAGTTATTGTGGACATCTGAATGTTAAATTATTAAGGTAGTGGGTATTCAGACTGTCATCTGTGAATACAAACTTCCCCATAACCAGAGCAGCACCAGGATTACATCTGCTGTGGGCAGGTTTACCATTTCTTGTCTAATTAATTGCACTGCAAAATATATTTCACTGTATATCCTTGGGATCTACAGACCTGATAGAAAATTCCTTTTCACTTTAACTGGAGTTTCACTCTGTCATGACTGACAAGAAAGGAAATAGTTTCAAGTTCATTTACCCAGAATTAAATTCAGGCTGTCAGATAAATACACTCTCCAAACTATCTCCTGTTTCCTAGCTGAGTGCTGGAGGAGTCAGTGAAATGTAGTAACATGTGCCACATGGTTATGGGATATTTTGCTGAGAAGCCAGGAGAGATTTTATTTCAGTGTTAGAGCTTATTGCACAAAAATATTTAACAGGCTCTCCCAAGAAACAGCACTTTTCATCCACTTCATGGCAAGCAGAGAAAATAGCCCTGATGGATAACTGCCTTCTCCCTTTCCTCTTACACAGTCACTCTTTACCTGCAAGGGCAGCAGCAATGTGAACAACCAGGCCTGCTTTAGAAAAATCCCAGGTCCTGGTTACTCTGCAGGTCACTGCAATGGCACCTGGATGGGCTGAGAAAGGTCCATCACAAAAACCTTATATTGGCACAGGAAAAAGTAGCAGCTTAATAGCCTTTGTCCTTACTGAAGGGGCCTCCAGCATTCCAGGATCTCAAACAGTAACTGAGCAACATCCATGCTACCACGCAGCAGCAGGCTACCAAAATGCTATTTTCCAGTGCAGTGCTTTTTTTTTTTAAAAAAAAATATTTTTCACACTTACCTTCCTCCAGGCATGTCCCTTCACCTTTCCCTCGGGGTGGGTGTACCATGCTGCTGGCAGCCACTGGAGGATGCTCCAGGGCACTCAGGCAGCAGCAGGTCAGGTTGGCTTGGGTCAGGGCTGAGCCTCCTGGTCCCTCTCCTGGGGCTGCTCCTTTCTCACCTGCAGCATTAGCACCCACACCCTCACACACCTGCAGGTTAATTTTGCATTGCTTGGGGTTGCCTGAGGTTAATTTTGCATTGCCAGGGCAGATGGCAAGCCAGCACAGGACTGTCCCAATAGCTCTGAACCTCTCTGGGGTGAGGGGGAAGCAGGAGGTGATATTTCAAAGCAAGTAAAACTCCTAAAGCACTGGAGAGAGGGAAAGCCCAGCATCCATGCTTGCCTGAAGCGGCTGTGCAGCGTAGGGAGGAAGGCCACCGCAGAAGGAGGGGATTGCATCCCTCCTTTTCTGCCCACTACAGCATGAAAGCAGAGCCAGGTCCCTCAGCAGACCCCGAGGACCCCGGAGGTCCCTCCTTTGCACTGGTTAGTGACAGCGGCCCAAGGGTCCCTCCCCAGCTGCTGGGTCAAATTCCTCCCTGGTGAAGCTCCTGGCTCTCCTTGGGCAGCCCTGCTCCTCTCCCTGGCCTGGCGATTATCCAGTAAGCTGCTCATGTCAGCTTGCTTTTTATAAAAGCATCTCTAGATTTCAGCCTGGGGTTTATTTATTGAGTTTCTCTGAACTTTTCCTTTCTCCTTCCCTCCTGCCAAGGCCTGGAGATGGTACAAGCCCTGGAAGTAAATAGAAAATGCCAAGCTTAGGGTTTTTGGGTCACTGTAAGTTACACACTATCTGCTTCCAGAACACATAAGCCATGGGATGTTATCTCGGGTCAACACAGAAGGGTAAGGACTAGAAAGGTGGTTGTGGCTGTAGATATGAATAAATCAGGATCTCACAGGGGAAGTATATTTTTGTATTCAAGCAGCCTTTTTTAATCTCAGAGACCTCTTCCTTTTTCTTCAAAGGATCCATATTCTTCTGGCAACAAAGATCTTTTTATATCTCTAGGTTTTCATATTCTGCCCAGCAGCCTATCACAAGAAAGCACAAATCTACTAAATAGTAAAATGAGGGATTATTTCCACTCATCTGGTGACAGACATTTCTCCAAATTGGATCAAATGATTAAAGGTATTAGAATGACGTCTTGCAGATCCAGATCAAATCATTTGAAACCTTGAGACTGTTTCTCCTTTGCTTGGAAGGAACCACCAGAAATAGTTGTAGGTGCTAATTGCCCATTATTCTTACTAATGAGAAATTGTTAATTGGGATCTTTGAATATTTTACTTGCTTGAATCCTTACTGGGGGAGCTCAAGATGGAAGGGCTACGCAGTAGCTCTCTTCCCACTGTGCCGTTCGGGGTCCCTTCCAATGCCTGAATGGTTCTTCCTCGAGTCGTTTACGCTGAGAAGAGGGGTCAAGGCTGCGAATTCTTCCAATATCTCACATTACGAAGATGGCACTGCTGAAAGTCAAATTCAACCAGAAGAAACGGGTAAAACTAGCTCAGGGACTATGGCTCATGAACTGGCTTTCAGTGTTTGCTGGAATCCTTGTTTTTAGCATGGGATTGTTCCTCAAAATTGAACTCCGGAAGCGAAGCGAAGTGATGGACAATTCTGAAAGCCACTTTGTGCCCAATTCTTTGATATTGATGGGTATATTATCCTGCGCCTTCAATGGTTTTGCTGGCAAAATTTGTTACGATTCTCTGGATCCCGCTAAATTTGACAAGTGGAAACCTTTGCTGAAACCTTACATGGCACTATGTTTCCTCTTTAACATACTAATTTTCTTCGTTGCTCTGATTTGCTTTCTCATGCGGGGCTCCCTGGAGAGCACGCTGGCCCAAGGGCTCAAGAACGGCATGAAGTTCTACCGGGACACAGACACCCCTGGAAGATGTTTCATGAAGAAGACCATCGACATGCTCCAAATTGAGTTCAAATGCTGTGGGAACAATGGCTTCAGAGATTGGTTCGAAGTTCAGTGGATCAGCAACAGATATCTGGACTTCAGCTCCAAAGAAGTGAAAGAGTAAGTAACTTAGTGGAGTTTGTATCGTGTAGTATCGTTATTTGATCAGTACTGTAATTTAAGAAATGTACGTCCCAATAGGCACTGACTGGAGGGGGTTGTGTATAAAATGTCTTTTTTCTCTGCTCTTGCTTAATAAGCATCCCAAATGATCAGCTAGATTGCTTCCTCCCTTGATAAATTCCTCCAATGTTATCCAGAACATAAAATATAAAGCACCAAAATATAATTCTCACTCTTACTCAGTGCAATGTAAACAGAGTTAAAATAATATTTTTTACTGTCTTTTACCTCTTTATAAACCCATTATATTGAGCAACACATACCTACTCCCAAAATTAACAGGAAAGTATCAGAACGTCACTATTCCTAGAGCAGATTTCAGTGCGACTTATTAAGTTCCTAAAAAAAGACTTCCCTGGGTATATACTGTTTACACCACTTTTAAAATGCCCCTTTAGGTATTGGCAATTAATCAGTCTCGTGGAAACAAATAGAAATGGACCAATAACTCAGGTGGCTTAAATCCTTAAGATTTAGAATTTTATTTTTATATTCACTCAGTCAATTGCTTCAGTGCTGTGACAATATTGAAAGTCAACACTTGTTAACGTACCTAGCTTTACGTAGTGTCCCTTGGAGCCAAATGCATTTTAAGTTCTCTCCTGTGTAAAAACATGTTTGATATATATACCTGTGCTTAGTTTTTTAAACCTCACATGAAAACAGCACTGGTTTCTTCTATACAAACCAGAACAGACTGTTGACCAGAAACACCTTAATGACTCTGATGTCAGTGCCCAAAGAGGCAGTAATCTCAAATTCGGGTGAGGTGCAGTGAGCACAAGTGAAAAAGAAACATGAACTTTTGAAATTAAAAAATGAGCATTCAGTATAAATATCTACAACCTTTTGAAAAATTAAGATCAGGGGAAGAGGTGGTTATTCAGAGTTCTTTGGGAACGTCATTTGTTAATGTTCATACTCTGTGGTTGCACAAAGGGTCTTGTAAACGGGAAGCGATCTGCCTTTTAAATATACTGCCTATGTTAAAAATGCCTGAAGTAATTTTGAAAAAAGCTTTGTGTATCTCTTGGGATCCCTGCCTGACTGTGTAAATGGTATTTCACTTGTGTGTCTCTCAGCATATTTTTTTGACTTGTTGGGTGGTCTGGTTGTTTTAGCGATTCTGAACTGGGACTTTGTAGTGAAAACTGTTACAAGCTTAACCTATTGCACTGTGGGGTTATAGCAAATAGATTCACTATTTAATAAGGGAGTATTTGCATTGCAAAGGTACGCCCATGGGTATAAATAACTACTTGAAAACATAAGAAGTTCACCTTGCCAGTATTATATGGAGATTTGAGAGCTGTAACTTAATCCAGCAGCAGTGGAAGGGCAAAGCACAGAGGGAAAACAAGGTTATATTGTCCTTAATAAACGATGTCTTGTTTGGAACCAAGACTCATAGCAATTTCTTTGTACTACTGAGGCAGGAAATGGGGCATTAAAAATCCACAAATGGATGTTAGTGGGTGAATTCAAGGTTTGAACTATATGGTGGTGCACAATCTCTGTTCACATTCCTGGTGGGATATTCTTGGCCCTTTGATGTCAATAGCAAAGTTTTCCTTAATTCCAGGGAAGGTGGGAATCTATCCCCTTCAATGTGATTTTTATATTATTTGTAGGGAGAAGGTCTGATCCAATTGCTCTGAATAAATCCTTAACTGCATTTGGCATTTAGATATATTTAGGTCATGACTGTAAAGTGGAATTTTGCTTCTCTAGGCTGTTGCAATCACCTCTCTCTGTGACATAACTTTAAAATATCCATATAGAAAGCTACAAGTGACTCTCAGATTTTTGTTTTCACCTTTCTAGACTGCTGAGGTTCTCCATTTTCTAAGTGAAACGGCATTTGTTAGAGTTGCAATCCTCTTAGAGTCTTCCTTTGCAGTGCCAGTGGAACTATTTGCCTCCTAAGTATCTCTCATCTAAACACCTCATAAGACACCAGACTAAATGGCTGTTTATGGTGAGCAATCGCAGTCTCAAATGAACAATAGTTGTGTAGCTTCTGTAAGGACTTCAGAAATTTTCAACATCCTCTTGCTGAAGCACATTTCACGTTTTAAATACTGGCTACCTTCCCAAGCTGAGAATAAATGCATAACCCTTTCCCAGAGCTGGTATCATCAACGAGAAGCTATTAGGTTTGCTGGATCAATGGCCTACCTGGATATGGTATGTTCTAAGGCTGTTGTGGGTCCTTTTCCAAGCTCAGGTCACCCCCAGTGGTCACTTCCACCCTAACTATGCTGTGATTACCCTTTACTGACTGCCTTTCCTGAAATTTCTCTCTGCCATTTGCTTTTCTTAAAAAATAATTTCTTTGAAGAAGTGACCCAAGAGAGCACGTTTCCATCATGAAGAATTAATTATAGACTCAGTGTAGCCTTGACATAGAAAAGGATGTTAGAGAGGAAAAACACCTGTGACAACCACCACTGTATAAACATGGGATGCAGAGAAATGGCATGGCCAGGAGGCACGGTGGAAAATTGGCATTGCCTTTGCTTTCCTTTCTCATGCAAGTTTGCTCTGATATATCTTGTGTGTGTGTGTATTCACGCTTCCTTCTGCCCTTGCCTATAGTCGGATCAAAAGCAACGTGGATGGAAGGTACTTGGTGGATGGCGTCCCATTCAGCTGCTGCAACCCCAGCTCCCCAAGACCCTGCATCCAGTACCAGATCACCAACAACTCAGCTCACTACAGCTACGACTACCAAACGGAGGAGCTCAACCTCTGGCTCCGTGGCTGCCGGGAAGCCCTCCTGCACTACTACAGCAGCATGATGAGCACTATGGGTGCCGTCGTCCTCCTCGTCTGGATTTTTGAGGTAACCCTCTCCCCTCAGCCCTGCTTGGCTGAAGAGACAGCTCTGCTGCAGAGAGGCAGAGCATTTTTCAGCATGGGCTTTCAAGTTAAAGATCATATCTATTTAAAATAAATGGTCTGTTGCCATTTCTTGTCTGAGAAAACATCTAGTAGAGAATATCTGCATAAGGCCTGGAAGGGCCCAGGCTGGAGATGCAGCTGGGAAGCATGGAGTGGGTGTTAGATTACTGACCCCCCCACTTCAGAGCAAGAAGCCAGAGCCTTGAGCATCCCACAGCAAGAGGGGGAAAAAGGGACCAATTTTCTGCCAAATGCAGGGTGCCCAAGCAGGGAAGAGGGTGTGAAGGCTCAGCTGTCCAGATGCATTAGTTTTATGTATGTCACCACTAGTGGGCAATGAAAAGTACACAAAGCAGCGCATCAGAAAGAGATCGCAGTAATTTGTGGGACAGAAAGTGCAGTTAAGGGGTTTATATGCTGATGAAAATAAGACCTAGAGCCATGCACAGTATCCAGCTTCAGGGCAGCATTTGGTTTAAGGTCCTTCATCAGCTCCATCAACATTTCTGGTCACAAGAAGTGGTTTAGGTGAAGAAAATGGATTAATTTTATTTTATTCTGCTTCCCAAAACCACTGTGTGTATGCAAACAGGTGCAGATACCACCCAGTCCAGGTGTTTGTGGGCACCATAACCTGAAGTGCAGCTTTGCTGCTAAAATACTGTTCATTCTATACGAGGAAAACATGTTCTTCTGCCTCTGGGAGATGGCAAATTTTCTAGCTGGGGTGTTTAATGAATACTAATAAGCAGGGAGCGTGGGCTGGCAGTGGCATGAGGGCTGACGCACGAGGATGGGATGGCAGACGGGGAGGGTGCAGCTCACTGTGCAAGGCAAGGTGCAGCAGACCCTTTCTAACCCTTGAAATGGTGCTGCAAGTGGCATTGCCTGTTTTAAATGATTCAGCCAGCTTTTTTGAAATTCAGATAAATGCAAATTTAAAAAAGATGCATTATATTTTGATACAAGCACTGGGCAACACCTTTCCAGGAGTGAAGATGCTGTTTGGAAAATAAACACCTACCCAAATAATCTGTGAACTGGAAAAAAAAAAAAAAAAGTCATGAAGTTACTCCATGTTGTGTTTGTTATTTTAAAAATAGCTACTCCACACGGCTGAGAAAGGTACTACCTCCTCGTAGCACTGTTATTCTGGTAAGAAAAGAAAGAGAAGCTTGTGTTTCAGCCCAAGTTCAAACGAAGAGTTCTTGAAGAGAGGAGAATTTCTGCTGTATATGAAAATCAGACGGAAATTAAAAAACCAGGGGGAAAATGCACAGAAACACTTAGGCCAGCTGTGAAAACATCATGACTAGGAACCTGTAACGTACCTCTGCTGACTTGTAGGAGGTTAATGACAGTGATACGTTAACATTAATAGCAGTGATAAAAGTACAGTATTTTATCTCTAGCTCCTCAAAGTACACCCAGGTAGTATTTTCAATCTATGGTGTAATGGGAAATACGATCTCTTTTTCCCTTCATCTTTTTCAAAATAAAAGGTGAAATTTTTCTCAGGTAATCAGAGGGCTATCAGGGCAAAGCTTTAAAGAAATATCACAATCCTGGGTTCTATTACTTGGCCCTCCTGAATATTTATGACTTACCGGATATTCTACCATAAAGGGTCCAGATTTGGGTCTCAAACTCCTGCTTTTAAGGCAAACTCTGAAGGGAGGAAGCAAAGCAGGAAGCAGACATTAATTTAGCCTCCCTTGAAATATAACCACTTTCTTTAAATTACTGTCAGGGTAGGAAACGTTTTTATACAGAGCGGGAGTCGTGGCCGGGGTCAGATTTTGGACCGACCAGGGTGCAGCCCTGCAGGGAGTCAGCGTGCTGGCTCTGCGCTTCGCGTTTCCCTGGGACCGGCTTGCGGAGCAGCCACAGCAAAGCGCAAAAGCAGCGGAACCCCACGGTTTGCTCCGCACCAGAGGCTGCTGTGGCCTCGGGCCAGCAGTATGGCCACAGCCCCTCCCCAGCTCCCTCTTCCAGCTGGGTTGGTGGCATTGACCCGGGGGAAGTGGGACAGAGTGCGGAAGGAAACACTAATCACAGCTGTTACTTTGAGCTGTAGAAAAACGTAACGTGCCAAACGGGTTTAGGACCTCAGGGAAGAACGTTGGGGTTTAACGTTTCTAATTTGGTGCAAGGAAGAAAGAATCTCTTTTGAGGTATTAAAACTTCTATTTGAAAAAAATGCAGCATGTCATATTTTCTGGAAATATACTATTATCCACATGCTGCTTTTACTAGCAAAAGTGGTAGGCTTCCCAGGAGGGACAACTGGTCATGAGGGTGACAAAAAAAGATCGCACCCTGCTCTAGATAAGCCGCCTCAGGCTAAACCCTGGCAAACAGATGGGCTTCGCTGCTGCAGAAGGTCAAGCAGAGCTAGCCTGGCTGTTGTCTTGACCTGCCTCAGCCAATGAAGAGGAAATATGGGGTTCAAGGGTCCATTTCAAAAGGAAGGGAGGGCAACAGCTGGTTCCTGAGATGCTCCAGGTCCTTCACCTGTATAAACATGTGGCTCTTAATAGGTCACAGCTACTGTGATGGCTGAAACCTTGAGATTTGTCTCACATGTGGTACCACAGAGAGAGCCCAGCACTGAGCTCCAGGAGGTGGGAACCCAGGAGAGCGATGAGATGCAAGCGGGAGGCGCATTGCACATCATGTGCTGGAGAGTAAATTCTCTGGTGCATTCAACACTAGGAGCGAACTCCCGATAACCTTAAAAACCAGCCCACAGGCAGGGGAACCTCAGGACCCTCCAGGATGACACAGTTTGCTGGCACAGATGGAAGGGCTGAGTATGTCATGGTGCAGGTGGATGCACCAGCCCAGCTTGGCCATACCCAGCCCTGCAGAATCACTGCAGCCTTGTTCTTCCTGATACTTTAAAGTGGCTGTAAAATGACAACAGTTTTCATGACAGTTTGTCCATTGGGAAGGGGAAATCATCAATTCAGCAAGACTGGGCTAGTTCTGGGACCCTGATGCCCAGGCTTTCTCTACTGGATTGTGATTAAGCTTAGGTCTACAACTCAGAGCCATGGTCAGGTTGAGGTGGGAAGCGACTCTGGAGGTCATCTAGTCCAACCTCTCCTGCTCAAGCAGGACCATATGGAGTCAGTTGCACAGGACCATGTCCAGACAGCTTTTGAATATCTCCAAGGAGGGAGACTCCACCACTTCTCTAGGCAACCTGTACCAGTGCTCAGTCACCCTCACAGTGAAAAAGTGTTTCCTGATGTTCAAACAGAAGCTCCTATGTTTGTGCCCATGGCCTCTTGTCCTGTCACAGGGCACCACTGAAAAGAGCCTGGCTCCATCCTCTTTACACTCTCCTTTCAGGTATTTGTACACATTGATGAGGTTACCGTGAGCCTTCTCTTCTCCAGGCTCAGCAGTCCCACTTCTCTCAGCCTTTCATCATAGGAGAGGTGCTCCAGTCCCTTCATATCTCAGTGGCCCTTTGTTGGACTCTCTCCAGTATGTCCATGGCCCTTTTGTACTGGGGAGCCCAGAACTGGACACAGCACTCCAACTGTGGCCTCACCAGTGATGAGTAGAGGGCACGGATTACCCCCTTCAGCCTGCTGACAGCACATTTGTCTAACGCAGCCCAGGATACCATTAGTCTTCTTTGCCACAAGGGCACATTGTTGACTCATGTTCAACTTTGTGTCCACCAAGACCCCCAGGCACTTTACTGACAAGCTGCTTTCAGCTGGTCAGCCCCCAGCATATACTGGTGCATGGGGCTGTTTCTTCCTTGGTGCAGGAGTTTTTCTCCTCATTGAAATTCATGAGGCTCTTGTCAGTCCATTTCTCCAGCCTCTCTAGGTCCCTCAAAGTATCGCTACAAAGCTGAAGCGTACTGAGGCATTAACATACATTTTTGAGGCAGCAGATACATCCAGCTGGAATGCCCAGACACATTCCATAATTTTGCTGAGAATATGATCTGTGCATTGCATGCAGCTATAAGTGTCCTGGCCAGGACCTGCAAATGAAGAGATGGGGCTATTGAAAAGCTGCCTGCATTAAAGGTTCTGGATAAATAATTTACAACACAAATCACTTCAGCAAAACTGAGTCCAAGGCTCTATACGGTCATATAGGAGACAGATGAATTTGTCTTCAGCTTCCTGAACTCTATTCTCATCCAGCAGAGGAGGCAGGCTCAGGTCAGAGGAAGTGTGGAAAGCCCAAATATTTTGTACTGCTTTTAGCAAATCTTAACCCCGGAGACCCAAAATGTTTCTGAGCAAGATTTTTAAGAAAATTAAGTCTTAAACTGAGAGAAAATGTCACAGAATCTCATCTGAGGGCAGGTCAGCTGCTCCCTTCTGCACAAGCACCTTCCTTTTTTAAAGCACAACTATATTTAGTGACTTAGAGCCATCCAGGAAACCTATAAATACAGCTAATTTTGCTGTCAAACAGTGGGATTTAGTAAGTCAGACACAAAAAAAAGCTCGTGCTGAAATACAGTGAGGTAGCACAAGTAGAGAACAACATGAAGGCCATCTTCTGCATCCAGTCCTATTAATCTTTACTTGCAACAGCCATTAATAGGAAAGATATTAGTCCCATAACTGAGAGCAGCAAAACTGGGGCTCAGATTGAAAGGAAGATGTCAAAGGCTTTAAATCCTAAGACTAGCGTGATGTGATTTGTCACTTCTTGTGACCTACATACTAGAATAGCATTTTGACTAATTTAAGTCATCATAGTATTGGGTAGATCCCCACAACAAAATGAGACTATTTCCAGATTCAGGGCCATTAGAATCTTTTTTGAGGACCAAGGTGTTGCAAGTCAGATGTTTCTATGCTGAACAGGATTGAAAATTTGGATATGGACATATTGGATGAAGCTTTTTTGTTTGACCAATGTTTTTTCCTTCCTGGTCTTGAGTCAAGACAGAGGAACATTAACCTTCGAAAATTTCAAGGGTAACCCTTTAGTCTTCCAAGAGTTCGGAGATACTGGTCACACACAAGAAGGATCACCAGGGTAGACAGGCTAATGAGTGGTCCACAGAAGCACATGCTTGAGCAGTCCCATGAGTCCAAAAGCCAGATGTGAATTTTGCAATTGGCCACACTAAATGGCTGAATCCGAACTTCAGATCTGCCCAGCTACCCAATGCCGTAATCCTGCACGACAGTTGGCAAGCTTCCTCCATCTCTAGTTCAAAAGCCTCGACAGACAGCAGCACCTTGCAGATCTAGGGCAGCTCTCTGTGGGCCTCAGCTGTGCCACCAGGTAAGCAACACACAGGGATGCTGACCTCTTTAGCCACTGGGTTTTAGGAAGACTGGAGGTAATCACTTCCTTGGGAATTTGGGTAGGATAACAGAAGCATCATACTTCCCTTACAGAACAAATCCTATGAGGTCGTTAACAACAATAAATAGTCTCAACCATAGCTTTAGCTAGCATACAAAAGACTAAATTAGTCTTTTGCTTCCCTGGCCTGTCCACCTGCTTTACCACCTCATCAAGCTGGATCTCCTGGGCGCTGCCTTTTCTTTCCTTCTCTTTCCTTCTCTACTTCAAAGATCAATCACTTTTCTTCATAAGCACAACAAGAGTGGAAGTCAGACTGTTCTGAATGGTATCAGAAGGCATGAAACTGGCTAAAAACATTGTCTCTGGAGGCAGATGTGGGGCATTTTCAGTGTCAGGGGCGTTACACCATCATAGCAGAGTCTCAGTCAGGGCTGCTGGGACTGGTAAATATTTTATCAGAAACAGAAATTTGCCTTAGATGGAACCAGTGAGAGATACACATCACCTCCTGCCTTGGTTCCTTATTTGCACATACCTATATAAAAACAAAACCAGAATTTGAAGTAGACAAGCTGATGGCTCAAATCCTAATGTTGCTCTATTCTGCACAGATGCTGATTCATTAATATCTCCTTGATCAGATTAATATACTTGTCAAACATATTAAGGCCAATGTGAAGTAAAAATATTTACAGTTAAAATTAAGTGGATGGTGGCAGAGCACGTTGTTGCACATATAAACAGCTTTATGTACATCTAGTGCACAGGAGCAGAGGTTTCATTAAGATCTCTGAGGAGGTGCCTACCCTGTGACGGGGTTTGTGGAAAGCCCTCTTGTGCATATGACCACACAAAGCTGCTGTTTCGCAGCAGCCAGCACATAGGCTTCCTTCCTGAGTTGATGTGTCCACTCATCGCTTATCAACTGTCATGCCTCCTGAGGCACTCACTGATTTCAGACCTCCACCCTGTCCGTTCCTACTTGTGAGGGAGCCTTTTCCTCCTGCCAGCTCCCCCCATCCCTCCTGGCCATCCAAAGGGGAAGGCGGCTCAGGATCTCCTGCTGCATGGATGATTCCTGCAGCCCCCCAAGCTGTACCTGTTTGGTGCCTTTGGCAATTTGTTCACTCCGCCAGCCTGGGCTGCTGATAGCGGAAGGTGGCAAAGACGTGGACAAGGGTATAAAGGTTTGCCTGACGCTCTCTTGTCTTTTCCATTGCATGGTGCAGTCATTCGTGATGGTTGGCTTGCGTCTTCTGCACACCTCTCTGGAGAGCATTGCAAATCCTGAAGACCCTGAATGCGAAAGCGAAGGCTGGATCCTGGAGAACAGCCTGAAGGACACTTTGAGCTCCGCACTGGAGAGTTTGAAAAAGATGGGTAAGTTCAATCAGGTGGAAGCAGATGCCGAAGGGGCCGAAGGAGAGGAAGGTGGGAAGGCGCCAGCTGTCGCAACAGTCAGTTGAGCTTCTCATTGATGTGGACTTTTTATCAGAGAGGAATTAAAAAACTGAGAATTGTGAATATCTATGTTTTAAAAGCTATGTATCATGAGAATATACATTTCTACTCATGCTTTTTTTTTGTGTGTGGGAGTATACAACATAGTGCACCTTGGGATAACACATTTATCCATAATGTGAGTACACCATATTCATAACGTCTGGGGGAAGTGACCCCACTAGGACTTGCAATATTGACATGTTCCCTTATCAGGGACAGTTAGTTAAATAAAAAATAAAATAAAATAAATAAAAAAATTGCTGGCATCACACAGTGATCCATTCCATCTTATTTTGAAATGAAAAATGGAATTTGAAAAGTTAGTATTTTTTGCTCAAGTTGTTTTACCAGCATACTCTATGTACTTCAACTTTTAAAGACAAACAGGTTGGTTTTCTGGGGAGTAACATATTAGAATTCAAAAGAAGAAGGATTTTCAGAATTGTATATAACTTAGTATACAGGCATTTTGACAAACCTCTCACGTAATGTGATTTTTGTTTATGTGCTAAGTAATGGTATTTTCTGCTGTATTCTTAAGATGTACATAGAACAAAATGCAAACTTATGCTGAGAATTTATGTACTAAGCAAAATTGTAATTTAATGAAACAGCACAAGTATCATGAAAGCAACACTAAGGTAAGATTTGGGTTTTGTTTCTCAGGGTTTTTTTTCCAGCCAGTATATCCTGAGTGTATCATAGACTTACACTTCACCTTGTATTTAAACAAGTAGAAGCTTAGAAGGTTCCTCTTGTAGTGGCTGGAATCAATGCTATGAGCATGTGCTCATAGTTACAGTTCTTCTGGACATTTAAAAAGTATGTAATCCCATAGCTTGCTCCAGAATATTAAAGCCCAACTATTTTTAAAACAAGAAAAAAAAAAGGCTATTTAGAACTAACACTTTAAATGTTTTCCAGGGTCATAGCAAATGGATACCATTCATCCACAACTACTTCAAGCCTCAAACTTTGAGGCCAGGGAAAAGTAAGTTTAAATTATCCCCCAGTGTGCAATTTTTAACAAGTTTTCTTTTTCCTTATCAGTGACAGGGTACCCTTCATTCTATCTTTTAAGTCAAAGCAAAGGCATATTTTGCATATGCCCCATCTCTCCAAACACACTGTCATAACTGGAGGACCCTGTTCAACTCTACAAAGTTGGAATAAAAAATGGAAAGAGCTTGCTGTGGTGCATGGCCTCTAGTAAGGGAACAGAGCATCATCTTGAGGTTATCTGCAGTTAGATAAATTCAGCTAAAGGGAAGAAACCCAAGAGAGCAAACCCCAAACCCCTGCACAAACAACTGCAGACATCTCAGTCCCTCAGCTATGAGCCAGGCACCACACTTATTTTTACCCCAGCTGTGCAAAACCTCTACTTCTCTGTGTTGTACCTGGGGGAGTTTTCTCAGCAGGTCCCTTCCACCTGGCTGATGGCCAGTCTTCAAAGGAAGCCACGTTTGCAGCTGCCTAATCATTGCACAGCCCATCAGTTTTCATTCTTAATCACTTGTGCACTTGCCCCAGCAGCACTCAGCTCCTCCAGCTTTTGTTCAAATTCCTTCTAGGATGGACAGACCAGTTCCCAGCAGGACAGGCAGGGACAGGTCCATACATCAAGCCATAGTCTATAACTCGGTGTCCAGGCTGTTTCAGGCCATCTGAACACCACATTTGATTTTGAGAGGTATTTGTGGCATCCTTTCACTTTTTCAAAGCTGGTCAAAGCTTTTAACTCTAGTTACAATAATGAATTAAAAAGTCAGCTCTGGTTTTTTGTGTGCAAGACTGACTAGAAAAAGGGCAACTAATGTAAAAGCCAACTTGCTATTCACCACAGCCTATCATCTATTGCTTTGCTGAGGGACACTCTGCATGGCAGAACTGTATAAACCAGGCCAACTCCTTCCTTCTCAGTAAGAAATCACTACCACCGGCTGCTCCTCTCAGCTGGTCCGTTAGAGAACAGGATTGTGGATGGCGCACGGCCACATATATCAGAGAAGAGCTTTTTGGGGGAGTCACATATGGATAGGAGCTGCATTACAAGGATTAATTACAGTTTTTCCTTGTGAGCCTTCAGTGTGCTGTGATCTATACTGGTTACTTGATTAGACATCTGATTTTTCAAAGAGATCTAGATGTATTGCTGCCCTAGAAATTTGGCTTAGGCCATGGCTTTAGACAGGACTCTCCAATTATTTGTGGTCTCTATTTTTTTTTCTCCTGTCTATTGCTAGAGCAACATAACAAATTTTCAAATTATTCTTTCAACGCCACATTGGAGAAGCCAGTTCCCAGAGCAAGGGTCTCATGGTATTAGGCAGGTAGAGAGACCATCTGAGACAGGTTTATGAACAATAGTACTGGAATTGGGGTTTTGTACAAATAAGAACAAATAGTGTACATGCTAATGCTGTCTAAAATAAAGCCTTCTGGTTAATAAAAATCTTTGTAACATCTTATAATTACTACAAGATTGTAATACGACTGCTTTGTAAAATCCTACGTGTAATATATCATTTGTCCAGTCTCAAATATACTTTCGTGTGACATCGCAAATGCTGTTCTAGATAAAGATCTCTGCTGCCTGCAAATGTAAATTTAGGTATTAAAACTCATACTGCAAGTAAAGACCTCTTTAAAGAAAATGTTTAAATACATACTATTTAATACAGATTTCTTTAATTTGCATTACTTCTGACTTTTTGCTTCTGAATTCATTTTTTAGCCCTGTTTTATATATTCCTGTAGGTAGGAAGCTTTCCCCCTCTCTATAGAATGCTCTGAGAGAAAAGTAACCTTCCTCTTCTCATGTGCCCAGCTAAGCTTGGGATGTGCAAACAGGCCCCTAAATCACTTGCCTCTTACTAGGAACAGAATTTGCTGGACCATTCTAGTAGCATCCTCTTGTAGTACATAGGAATTACAACGTCTTCACAGGCCTTAGCTTCTAGAAGTGCTCAACAAGTGAAACCACTGGCCTCCTCAGGATCTTTGACCATCAGCTAAACTGTGTGTATAAGCTCTTCTTTTCCCCCATTTAAATCTAACCTGCAACAGACATACAAAAGAAAGCATTGTTGTTATTTTAAATTTAAGTAGTAAAGCTCAGGTAGCCAAAGCTGCCTGCAGCAATCCAACAACTCCAGAGCTGTGCCCTGATTTTCAAACTAATAAACTTCAGAAGGGTGTGAGCTTAATTCATACAAACCAAGCCACTTCTTTTTAGGTACTTCCATATGTATTACCAGCTTAAATTCAAGAACCCAGATCTGAGAGCCAGCCCAAGGCCTTGAAGAGCCAACTTTCAAGAAATATAATTTATTTTTTAAAAGAAATTACAAAAGTGCACTATTTTACCAGTGACATTTATTTGAAGGGACACAGAACATTCACTGAAGTGCTTTGAAGGAGGAAATATAAACAGCTTCCTTAAAGCTATTAATACGTAAGTAGCCTTAATACAATTTATAAGATTAGCCTCCATGCATTACATGAGCTTGGACATTTTATAATACCAGCCAAATGCATGTGTGCAGCTTAGTGAAGAGCATAGGAATGCTATATCGGGCTCATAGGCACTGCACACTTCCAGCTGATTGTCAGGGAAGATTTTCAAGCCTGATGTAAAAGAAAAAGAGATCTCAGCAAAAGTGTTACTTATTTTCACCTGACTTCTTTGTTTTGTAAAAAAAACCCCCCCAAAAAACCAAAACAACAAAACACTGCTCTTACCATAACCAACGTGAAATGGGGATGGATCACAAATGCTTATTCAAGAAAAAATTAAAGAGCATTATTAGAGATTAGTTAATTAAGAGATAAGGCCAGAAAAATAGAATGGTGCCATGTGGTAACAGCCCCCTGCCAGGAGATGAAGGCTTAGGCAAATTTATTTCTGGTAACAGGAATGCAGCTATACCAACAAAATCTGAAATCACGTGCATGCGAAACCTTTTCTTTTCTTTTTTATTAATTACATAAGACCTGTAGTGTTCAGTAACTGACTGTAGTAGTAACCCACCTCTCTCCAAGCACCTCTGTTTGCTCATCCCATGTCATTTTACAGAACTTTGATTTGTGAGGTGGGAAAGCTGGAGGAAATCCTGGCCTGGAGCTCACCTTTGTGGGCACAACCTCTGTAGCACTCTTCCCTGGGGAACGCACCCCCAGTTTGCAGCCTCCCCCTCACATGTGGTGCTGGAGGAAGGGCTGAGCAAGGCTCCCACCTTTCATCCCACCCGCCCCTTCTAAAGCAACACACACAGAACAAATCTTGCCTGGTTAACCTGTTCCTACTAATAAAAGAAGGATAGTCCATAAACATGAGTCAACTATTAAATTCATTATGAGGTGTATTTACATAGTTTGTTCTCAAAGCAAAGTTTTTCAGAACAAAGGGTGGTGGAGGAATCAGACACGCCAGGCACACTTGGCTAAACAAGGACCAAAGGGCAGGTCTGCAGCCTATCGTCTGATGAAGTCACACTGCTTCACGAGGCAACCAAGCCTCCATGCATTTTACATCAGCTTCCCAGGCAAACCGGGGTCAAGCATCACAAATCAGAAATGGGGACACTTGGGCACGTGCAACTTGGTAAGGCGTGACACCAGCTGGTGGGGGGTGAAAGGAGGAGACCAAAGTTGGCTCCCAGCAGCGGTGTAGAAGGCAGTAAGTCTGAGGCACACAACTCCCCAGACTGACAGTCTTGTTAAGACGGTGAAAACAAAGTTTAATTCTTGGAAAAAGACCATAGAAATCACTTTGAAATATGTGACGATACAGAATTTAACAGCAGCATGAAAGAACCACTGGCTGGAGATGCACTGAGCCCACCTTCCAGCCAAGCAGTGCCAGCAGCACATGCCAACTGCCAGGAGATCGCTCACTGTGTTCATCTGTTCCAAGACATGTGCAAAGTTCTCCTGTTCAGAATTGCTTTTCACCTTCCCA